AAGTTTGTTTTCGGAGAAAAAAATCGTAAAAAAGTTTTTTGTATTGACTGTAAAATGTCTGATAAATACGGTATTCAGAGCTCAAGTATTATTATACTACACGTTAGGAAGCATTGAGAGAGACATTGAGAGCACCGGTAGCTCTACTTCTTCTTATTCTTGCCGAGCATTGACTGTTGGAGTGTTAGGTTAGCGCCGCCGCCTAACACCGATTGTTTGCGGGCGTTGAGCGCCGCGATGTCGTCGTCCAGTTTCTGTTTGTCTAACTCCAGGCGCCGCTTATCCTCCGTTGACTGCTTCTTAAGCCTATCGAACCTCAGGTGTAATTCCTTCTCGGCCTCCTTCAGCTCAGCCTCCTTTTCCTTAACCCTATGAGTTAACCACAAATAAAAAATACAATTAATTCACAATTCAATTGATGACTAAATTATGCAGTGTTTAGCCATATGCCTAACTCCTTGCCTACGTATCCACCCGTCCCCCACGACCGGCGCTTACACTTATAAAACCTCAACTACCATACCCTCACTTTCACTCTACAATTTAATTTACTTGAAAACTCGATTATAACGTATTTACTACTCATTAATCCCAAACCCCAACCCTACGTACCCACCAGTCCCCCCTCCCCTTGAACGGCGCCTACACTCAAACACATACCTGAGCACAAATCCCTGTCGCATCTCCTCCTCTTTGCGCTGCAGTTCCGTGAGATGTGCGGCCCGTCTCTGTTCGTAGGTCTCCTGAAAACTGGTGGTTTTAGCGGTGTCTCCGGTGCCCACCGTTCCGAAGCCCATCTGTTCCAGACGTACGCGACGGTAGAGCTCGTAGTGACGGGAGTGAGTGGTCTCTCGCAAGTCCTCCATATTTATGCGCAAAATCATGTCCCGGAGCCGCACGAAGTCGCAGTGGTTCTCGTTCTCCACTATAGAAATGGGAGGAAAACTCTTCAGTCATCACTGCAAACGGTTCCCACACAACGCAACCCATACATACCCTGAACGGTGCCCCACGGGTACTGTCGGGCCCTCATCTGCTTACTGCCCACCCGTACGAACTCATGACTGGCCACCAGTGCGAAGGGCAACAGAGCGTTGTTCTTGCCGTTCAGGTCAGCCACGTCTGTGTCATCGGTGGGGAAGTGATAGATATTGATCCCATTGGTGACAATCTCGGACATGATCTTCACCCGCAGTCTCTCCAACTCTGGTTTCGTAATTGTGTCCGATTTGGCGATTATGGGAATGAGATTACATTTGGCGGCCAATGAGCGCATTGTCACCAAATCAATGGCTCTGAGGCCGTGACCGACGGGTGATATCATATACAGACAGACGTGGACGCGGGTGTCGTTCACCGGCGACTGATTCCTGTGGATCTTCAGCTCCTCCTGAAGGTAGCGCTCGAACTGCTGGTCGATGTACTCCACGACTGACTTGTATGAGTCACCTGTTTGGGGGAAAGGGATGTAAAAAAGTGGTGTTATATTCAAGTCATAATCCTATCAGTTATAAATGCTATGCTATGTTAGGCTACGGCTTATCCCTGACCAGCGCCGGTACTGTTGGGAACTATGCCATCGTGTAATGAACGGACAGACAGTACAGTCAGGCGCCGGTGTTCAGCGAATACAACACCCGATATCACAGGCCAGGGCTGTCATGAATAAGATATATCACTGTCTAATGAGCGGTACCGGCGCTGTTCCGTAGGCACAGGTATGCCATCATAACATAACACACGCTATAATCTACTCAATGGTGACAAACCTTTGTTTATCTGATCGCCGAAGCCTTTACTCTCAATGAGACCTAACTTCAGCTTAATATTGCGCTCCTGGAGGTCGTAGTTATGCGCCGTCACGTCGACTGCACTGAGATTATGGCTACGAGTGCTTACGTCCGGGAACTTCATGTTGAACAGGCTGTCCAATAGCGTCGACTTCCCGACCCCCGTCTGTCCCAAACACATGATATTGAAGCCGAAGCCATCCCTCACTATACGCGACACAAACTGTTCCGGCAATGAGTCCACTCCTACGTAGCCCTCGGGCTTCAGCGCCCGATAGCCGTTCCCTCCGTTCTGACTACCGGTGCCGTTGTTTTGGGTCTTTAGCGCCGTTTGGTTGCCATTAATCGCTTGCGTTATCTTAGGTTTGGTCTGCATATTGACGGTCGGTTTGGTGGCGGCTATCGGCGGACCTCCCGATGGCGGGTGCGATGGCTGATGATGACCACCAACACCACCACCGATAGCACCGGTAGTCTTGTCGTCGGATGACATGCTGTGCGCGTGTGAATGACCAACGATTGCGGTTATTATCAGTTTATTAAGCGGTGTATACAGTGATTAAAGCGGTGATGACTGGCGATGGTATGTGTCTTAAGCGATGGTATTAAATCTTGGGATCAAATGTGTGGAGACTCTGAGGAAATCAAATCAATTGTCTTATTGTCTCAACACTTGCCACTCATATGATAGGCAACGCCCGTAAACATAACATTGTCACACACTTTAGTATGTTTATATACGAGAGGCTATAGTATTATGCACTCATAAA